GCACTTAACAATAGCAACAATGATAAAATAGATACAAATTTATTACAAAAATTTAAAATCTACCGAAATGTACACACAAACACTTACAGAGCCAAGAAAAAGATAAACAAATTATGTATGAAATCATAACTGCATAAAATTAACTGCATAAGTACACACGGTACTGCTGTAATAATTTTGTGGAAGCCACCTCCCACTGCTATTGCAGTGAGCTCAAATGTTGCAAGTACCGGCTCAAAATGTCATGTGATACTGATCATCTCCCTGCATAGGTCATGTTTGCAGTAAACTGTGTACGGCAGTACAAAGTGATCTCTCACATCACATGGTTAGTGCAATGCCCTAAAGCTCGAGTAACAGCATGGCTGCCCTATGAAGTGCCGCTAGTGATGCTGGAAGTGCTTCCAAGAAGCAGAGAAGTCATGACATGACAAGAAAAAGTTGTATTACTGGATATGGATTGAAGTTCAAGTCAAGATAGATGTCTGCCATTTCAAGACAGATGAATTCACTTTAAGGACTACTGTTAAAAATTAAAAGGAAATTCACAAAGCTGTTGCTGCAGCTACATCAGCAGGTGCCAAAATTTTACACTTTTGTGACATGCCTTATCTTGTATTAAAATGCATTTTTTATGTAGGTGTTGTATAATACATATAATGCATGAAATATGTATTAATTGTTGCTTATGTTATGGTAAGGCTTCCAGTCAACAGTAAGCTATTAGTAATTAAGTTTTAGGGGAGTCAACAGTTACATGTGGATTTTTGACTTGCGGGGGTTGGAGGTCAGTGCTCATAACCCCCTCATTGTAGAAGGGTCAACTGTATCGCTAAGGACAGTGAGTATTCCTGTGAGGAGCACATCTGTGTGGACTTACCTTTTTCTTGAGCTGAATGGTACAGAAGAAACCGTACAGGTGCAGTGGTTAAGTACTTGTCTGCTAACCAAAAGGTTGGCAATTCAAACCCACCCGCCACTCCACGGGAGAAAGATGCTTCTCTAAAGATTATAGCTTTGGAATCCCTAAGGAAACTGTACTTCATACTATAGGGTCACTATGAATCAGAATCAACATGACAGCTATGGGTTTGGGGCTTGAATATTAAAGAGAACCCTGTGAGGAAGCTCAGATTATGAAGACTGGGTTGAAGAAAGTATTCCTTACAAAACTTGTGAAGAGCTGATCGCTGATGTAGCGGTGCGCCTTCTCAAACTGCTCCAGCTCTCTGTTTCCCTTCTCCATACACACATCCCACATACTTGTGGCGGCCACCACTTTTATACATGCCGATTCCTGGGGCCAGGTGGAAATAAACACAGGTGAGGTCAAATAGAACTTTCTAGCCTTTACCATTCACTCTGTAGCAATCAGAAACAAAAGGTTTCAAAACTTGAAACTCTCACTCATATAGTATTCTAGCTTTGCTATGAACGTATGTCAGACATTATGATTTATGGGGCACAGAGAAAAGTCTAAGACTTTTCCAGAATAACTGGTGAGGACTTACGTCATTTCTACAGCATTTCCTTATGCCCCTAGCTGGAAGTTTATTTCTTCTTTTTTGAAAAAGAATATATTTTCTTTTTTTTGTTGTTGAAAATACACCTAGGAGAACATATATGAATTTGACAACTTCTACATGTAAAATTCAGTGACACTGATTACACTACTTAAAGTATGTAACCATTCTTATCCTCCTTTTCCAAATTGTTCCTCCCACAATAACATAAAAATTTGTCTGTCTAATCTTTCAAGTGGCTTGTGTCAGTTTTATCTCACATTTATAGATAGTTCTTTAGAAGAGTACAATGCTCACCACATTCTTTACTAAGCTAAACTACTCAGGTAGTCTCCGACTTGCAGCAAGGTACAGTTCCGATAACTTTGTCATAAGTTGGTTTTGATGTAAGTTGAATATCTTTTTTTTTAAGGTTTTCATTATTATCATTATTATATATCATCTGTGAGTGAACATCTAATACTGATAATATAAGAAAATTATGTGCTGTAACACTGTATGTAGGACACATAACTAATGACAAGATGTGTAAAAAGAAACAAAAAGCGAAACAGATGGGTGTAAGTGTGGATCCTTGTAATCGAATATGTTGTCTAAGTCCGGGCTACCTACACTGTTTAGTTTAAGGGACCCTGACAGTTCAATGGTCAAGTGCTTAGCTACTTAACAGAGGTCAGTGGTAAGAACTTACCAGTAGTTTTGCCAGACAAAAGACCTGGTGTTCTGATCCTGTAAAGATTCCAGCCTAGAAAACCCTGAGGCAGTTCTACTCCATCATATCTCTATGGGTCAGAATGACCTCGGCAACATACAACAACAACGCTAACTTCGTTGAAAGAAGACTTCGGGGATATTTCTGGTTTAAGGTCTTAAAGGTGCTCTCAGGGCAATAGTTTTGAGGAATTCTGAATTCCATGAGCATTTGAAGTTGTTTCATATTTTCCCCTTTTGATAAGAATTCTTCTGTAAAATATATGATCAAAACATTAATATCGGTAGCTGGGCACCATCGAGTTATTCTGATCTCATGGCAAAGAAAGCAACTGTTAATGGATGCAATTAGCCATGCATTCCATTTCCCTAATCGGGGTGCTTCTTAATTCACCAAAAAAATAAGTTATCAAATTAAATATGATTCCTTTGGGATTATGATAATGAATCATCTCTTCTTACGTGTTTTCTCATATTGTTACCATCTCAACAGCAGCTGCCTAACCACCTACTGACAATTACAGTCCTACTTGCCCCACTCAAACTCTGACACTTCTGAGTCCTCTTGCTCTCTTCTGCTCTTTCCTAGAACAAAATACACCATACACATTCTAATACACAATATAATTTTTACTAACGTTGGTGTACTAGTTCTCGCTCTCCCATTGCCAATAAATTGTAAGCTCTGTGAATGGAGAAATTTATCTGCTCTGTTTGATGACTCAATGATCATTCATTGAATGAGCAAATAAGTAAGACGTGGTTAAATCCTGACAGCTTTTGAAGCCCAGCCTTGTTTCCTTGGCTACACAATGTTCGATTTCTGCCCATTTTAAGGTTAGGAATAAAATAAAACCTAAATGCAGTAAAAGCTACATTAATAATTTCCAAAGGTAAATCAAGTACCTAAGCAAAAATTACCAGTATCTCATAATTTGGTATTTATGATGCTTAGACCTTTTATCTATGGGCAAACACAAAGGAAGATACCTAAGATAGTATTAGAAAAATCATACAAAATATGTGTATGCTTACTCCTCAAGGAGTCCTGGTGGCACAGTAGGATAAGCACTGGACAGCTAACTGCAAGGTCAGCAGTTCAAACCCACCAGTCATTCTAAGGGAAAAAGATGAGATGGCCTGTTCCCATAAAGACTGATATTCCTAGACACTCTATATAGGGTTGCTGTGAGTTGGAATGGACTTGATGCACTAGGTTTGGTTTGGGTACTTATCACGTATCAAGTAGTAGTTGTTATTGTTAAGTGCCATTGAGTCAGTTTCAACCCACAACGATATCATATAGGGTGTCTGAGGAGTGACTGGTGAGCTTGAACCGCCAACCCTGCAGTTCAAACGGCTTTGTAGTCTGGTGCATTAACTCACAGCACCACACCAGGAATCAACTAGTTGGGTATCCGATAGTAGTAAAAAAAATCTACTACCTGATTATTTAATATACACTAGACAAGCTGCAAGGGAAAAGTAAGTCTGACCGTGGTGGTTAACATTACAAGTCAGCTTGCGTGGGCCACGGTTCTCAGCAGTTTGCCAGTTGGGTATCATGCCAGTTAGCAATTATGCAATGATGTTGTTGTTGTTGTTGTTGTTAAGCGCCGTTGAGTTGGTCCCAACTCATAGCAACCCTGGTTTCCGAGAAGCAGCTGGTGCATTTGAACTGCTGACATTGCAGCTCAAACCAACCTTGTGGCACAGTGCTTATCCTATAGTGCCACACCAGGATGCCAACAAAAGTCTGATCTAAGTACCAGCTGAACATGGCAAATGTATCTCAATGTTCCTTCTTTTAAAAGTATTTACAATTACAGATTACAAATATGTGCCTATTGCAAACACTGAAACAATATTAATTATAGAGCAAGAACTAAAACATTCCCCCTGTTTTTCCTTCCCCATTCCTACTTCCATTTTTCTCTGCAGTAAGCATCTCTAACCAATGCTACACATGTAGTGTATTTCCATCTACTCTGTTTCTATGAACACACACACGCCTCACTTACCAATATAGTTAGGTTTCAAGGACAAGGTCCTTAGGTGAAAATAGAGGATGATCACATCAGATCATCCTCTATTGTGAAGGGTGTCATTAACTATTAATGTACTCGGCTGTTAACTGGAAGTTTGGTGGTTCGAGTCCACTCAGAGATGCCTTGGAAGATGACCTGGTGTTTTTCTTCCCCAAAACTCAGTCATTGAAAACCCTGCGGAACATAATTCTACTCTTGACACTCATGGGATTACCATGAATTGAAATCAACCAGAAGACAACGGATTGTTAACTGGTTTTTAGAGAAATGGTATCACACTGTATGTGATTCTAACTAGACTGATTTCTTCACTCACCCGGATATGCTGGAGGTAGAGAGAGAGATCTCGGATAAAAGATTTGATCAATCTTTCTTGCATTCGGAAATTCTTCTCTGTTTCTTCAAATACTTCATCCTTTATCTGTTCAAAATAAACAAGTTTTACCGGTGAGTTTGAACTCTCCCTCACTCTATCTTTTGGTAAAATAATCTCTCTTAAAAACATTTTTTGTTCAAATTTTAAACCTTCTATGGTTCCCCGAATCATATATTCTGCACCTTTACAAGGCTTTGAAAGACCTCCAGATTGCATACAGACCCTCCTTACCTTTAAGCCTCCTTTCCCAGTGTTTCTGGTATCAAACCTTCACTCTGATACAAGGACTCCAGCCTCAGTCCCTGGCCCATGTCATACTGCTGGCCTCAATGCCTTCACCTAGTTACTCTCTCACCTACTGTCAACTCCCCTTCAATCTCAAGCAGACATGAAACTCACCTCATTAAGCCTCTGTCTTTCTGTATTACAGCATTTAGAGAACAAACTGCAAAACTTAGTAACTGATTATTGTCTAGCTTGTATTTTCCACTAATTGTATTGCATAGACGTGGTATAGTATAACGATGTCTGGAGACTCCAGCTCTACTGTCGGCACTAACTACTAAACGAACTTCAACTCACTCCGCTTCTTAGACGAAGATTTTCCTTCTTTGTACCAATATGGTGTTGAATGAGATCATCTCTAAACATGTCTACAATTGAAATTTTGTCTCCCCAAACAGATCATAAGGTCCTATGAGTATCTAGTACCACAGATGCTTTGACTCTAGGTTGACTGATGTGGCCTCCCAGTTTGTTTCTGGCCACACTAAACAGCTCATCAATAGAGGGTTGAACTCACATTAATAGCAGCTTTGGAGTCCTGCATCCACCAGCTAACACATACCAGAGGAGGTAAGAAGAAGGGAAACATGCCAATCTACACTACGCAGGTTGCCCTGGGAACCCTGAACGTCTGTCCCAGGCATGCAGAACCTTCAGGTACATGGATCTCACCTGAGGAGCAAAGCCAGTGAGATGCTTCAGGTGGCTGCTAACTCGGTTGGATTTCTTGATGATGGAGTGAATGTTTAATTTGGAAATTTTCTCCATGAGGCTATCTTCATCACCCTTACGGTACTTGAGGACTGGGGAGAGAGTCAAATTGGTGAGTCAAGACAATGCTTTCCTGAGCACGGATATACTGTGGTTGTTAAGTGCCATCGAGTCGATTCCGACCCATAGAAACCCTGTACAGGGTTTCCAAGGAGCAGCTGGTGGGTTTGAACTGCCGACCTTGTGGTTCACAGTCCAGTGCTGATCCTACATCGCCAATATTAGTGAGTCACAAAATGAGACTGCAAAACCCAAACTAGCCCTTAACTGCAATGAATTTCGAATTAAGGAGTAGAGACAGAATATGAATATAAACACTCATTTGTGGACAAACATAATACCTAGAAGAAAGCAAAGAGAGACTGTGTGACCAGCTCGGAGAAGGATTAAAGACCAGGAGGAAAGGTTGCATATGCGTAAGGAAAAGAACCAAAGATTCAGAGTCAAGAAGATATCTGAGTTCAGTGCCTGGGTCTGTCACTTACTTAAGGGATGGCCTTAGATAAGTCACTTAACTTTGGAGGAGTCTCATTTTCCTTTTCAACACAATGTAGAAAATAGTACTTGTCTTACAAGACCACCTTAAATGATCTCATATACAACTGAGATGTGTATACAATTACATCCCGCAGTAAAATGATAAACTAATATGTCACATGTTAAGCACAATCTTCAGAAAAGCCAAGATAAAAGCATAAAATAGCAAGGGATAGAGTGACAGCAAAAAGGCACACTTTGCTGTTGTAGAAGATGAAGACTAAATCATATTAGGATGAAAACCAAGAGAAAGGACTAGGCGGCCATAGACCTTTAACAGCCCGTCAAGGTTACATACCAGCGTAGGTGACCTCGTTGAAGCTGATAACAGAAATGATTATAGCTGTGGAGATAGTGGGAAGCAGGCAAAGAGGTGACATGATATTGTGGAGTCTTTGCAAATAGGAATAACAAAACAGTTCAGCACACTTTCCATACTCACTGACTGAGCGTCCCAATTAGGAGCTCAACAAGAGGTGATGAGAGAGGCATGAAGAGCACAGTTGGTTCTATCTCGTAAAGGAAAAGCAGACGGTTTGCCTGGACAGTGCTGGAAAAAGCAGGCAGGAATGATGGAACTCAGAAAGATGGGCAAATCGAGGTATTTTCAACAAAGATAGAAAGTCCAAAGGAGTGTCAGGATTAGGAGAAATAAATGAAAAATGTGGCTGACAGGCCCCATGAACAACTGCTTCCTTTGCTATGAGACCAAAAGAACTGGATGGTGCCCGGATACCATAACAATATTTTTATCAAAGATTCTTTACAAGACTCTTGATCAAAGGGGGAAAATGCAGAACAGAATTCCAAATTCTTGTGGACTCCAGACTTTCTGGAGCCATGGGAACTGGATGAGCCCCTGAAACTACTGCCTTGAGCTAATCTTTACACCGAAAACCAAAAACATCCCCTGAAGTCTTCTTAAAACCAAACAATAGTTTAGCTTAACTAGTAAAAATGTGTTGCTTGGGTATTGTGTTCTTTTAAGAACTATTGGTATGGGATCAAAGTGACATAGCAATTTAAAGATTAGATACAAACCTTCCTCAGAAGTTTTCTTAAAACCAAACAACTGTTTAGCTTCATCAGGAAAAGAGGCCTTATGCTCTTTTTTTTTTTTTATTATTCTGAAAATT